CGACGGAGACGTTGCGACGCACGCAATATCGTTTGTAAATTTAGCGGATACAGTTACGCCATGAAACGGCACTCAATCCCGCATCTTGACACAATCGCGCATGCGAGGCGCTCGCGCCGCCGCCGTCCCGTATCGTTTCGATCGCGCGCAAATCAGACGCGGCCAAATGATTCTCATTGATAATATTTCCCGATATTTTTCCTCGCGCGTTCGTGCGTTCGCGGGCGGATTCGACGATCGCGGACGGCGATGTGTACGCCGGCGAATTAATTGGATTAAATCGCCCGCAGTTTAATATTCATTTTGTGCCTTATAGAGACGCCCGGCGCCACCGAGCTCGCAATCCGTATAAATTGCACTGCCTTCAAAAAGCAATTTCATTTTGTACGTAAAGTTACGTAAAGGCGGAATATGAAAGCAGGTTATCTTCTCGACCGACAACCCTCTCAATTAGGAACTTAACTCTCGCAGAAATTATTACAGCAGGAAACGGGTTCGGGACGACGTAATACCGGTATAACTACGTCGCGCGGCTACAACGCAGCGCAAATTTCAGCGGAAAGTCTGACTTTCCGGCTCACCGCGAAAAACCGGCTAACCCAAAAATTCCACTCTCTTTTCCCTCTCTTTCTCGTTGCGTTTCCTTCCGCGCGCTCAGATTCAGCCTTGCGGCATTACCGCGAGAGATCGCCCGCTCATTACGCGCGTAATGAGCGTAATTGCCACTCGCGATGCTATCAATCGTATGTGTGTGTGTGTGTACAATTGACACTGTACGCCCTTCTTTCCAACAGTCTGTCTGAAATTGATTGTCGCAATTTGCGCGAGAAGCGACGAGAGAGCGATGCTATTCGAACGTGGCGCGATGAGAGAGAGGTTTCGCCGCATATTATGCATATTAAATTTGTGAAAGGAAGAAAGAAAAAGGTAGGAGGCATAGAGCCTCCGCCTGCAATAACCCTGCCTGCAATAACCCTCGTAATTACGTGCTTAAATCACTGTCGGCGGAGTTATTGCAGCGGGATACTTTCTGCCGCGCTGCCGAATGCGCTAGCGTGAATGCTCGCATTTTGGCAGAGCGTCAGCTCATTCAACTTGCCGCAATCCTGATGCCGCAAATTTCTTTTCCTCTCTTCGCGATTCCACCCGGTAGCGGTGATGCGCCGGCATGCCTGCTACTACCATTGCTACTTGCGATTTTGCGCAAAAAAAATCACGCGGCTAGCCTTCGAAACTTGAGAAAACGCTCAACTCACGATAAGCCAGAAATCATCGCAGCGACTTCTCGCGCTTCTCTACTCGCTCATAGACTTTCATCCGCTTACTTTACAAAACTCTTCCTCGAGCGCTTTCGCTTTCCGATATCCCAGAAATATCTCCGCCTATCTCCGCACCGTTTTCTTTCGATTCTCCCCTCGCCCCAATCACCCGCGAAATTCAGCGCGGTGCTGAATTGAACATCGCGCCGAAAATGAAATTCCACGAAGGGAATCTAGGATCTCCGTGAAATAATCGGCTACATTACAAGCTTGATGTGCGACCAAATTATCATGACGGAACTTTCAGTGGCGCACATGTTCGCGACCTCGACCGTCTCTCGCTATTCCTCGCAATCTCGAAAATTTCCCTCCATCTCCCGCGAGCGCGCTCCCCGAGTGCCCTTTCCACTCACGTTTCTCATCTTTCGTTCGTTCGCGTTTTATCGACGAGATCGCGCGAGATCGACATTGACTGCGACGGCGACGGCGACGGCGACGACCGGCGGTGCCGGTCGAGCTTCCCGATGCGTGACGCCCGAAATTCTCCGTTTTAATTGCACTCTAGATATTTCGGGGTGGAAGGTATTAATGGACCGAATCCGCACGTGGAGCTGCACCGAGTGCTGCAACGTGTGCTCACGGACAACAGGGCGGATGTTTAATTGAGCATTCGGTCGCGCCCGCCCGCCGAACGCGAATGTCTCTCATAATCCGGCGTGCCAATTAACGCTATTAGAGACATCGAGCACACTGGTACACACGACACGCTGCTACTGGTCCGCGATAAATCCGATAATTGATTGTGGATCGACGCATGTTCGTGCGACAGCCCACAACGAGAGAGAGAGAGAGAGAGAGAGAGAGAGGGATCCTCTTTTGTGAAAAAAGTAAAATGGAAGTTGACGCGATTGCGGGAGACGGGAAAAACGGCAAAAGTCGTCATCGTCGTAAAGTGTTAACGAGAGAATCACTCTAATTTTCCGAGGGTTGCTCCGCAAACGAAAAGCTCGACCAGAGTCAGATCGCAGGTATTGATCATAATACTTTCTATCATCTTTCCTCCTTTTTAACGAGCTCCTTCTCCTCCTCCCACACTTGTCGCTCATGCTGGTCGAAAGTAAACATTTACATAGACTTGAACTTAGAAAAGAAAGAGAAAAAGAAGATAGGAAAGAGAGAGAGAGAGAGAGAGAGAGAGAGACGCACGAATCGCACGCCGGCGCTCACGAAATGACATCGAAAAACATCGAGACCAGCATCACCGCGTTGTGGACCTAATAATTGTTAGTCCGTTAAAAGTGATTAATCGCCCGGAGGATTACGGCTTTTGGCCGGCATTGTCCCGCACGTAACCGCACGGCGTAAACGCACGTGATATTCTACACGCCGAAAGCGCGAGTAAATTTTAGTAATTCTTCGCTCGAGCGGCCGTGAATTTCGCAACCGTTTCACATCAATCGACTCTGCCGTTGCGCCGCAATGCCGATCGTTGCCGGGCCACGTAAGTGAAACGCGGAACATTCGTATTAATTATCGCGCTGTAATTCGGTACCGCAGTGTACAATGTCGGGAAAGGTTATTCGGCCGTAGTACTCGCGAAATTTACTCCAGATAATATACACCGCTCGAGAGTTTGGCAAACGCCATAAAGAAATGAGAGAGAGAGAGAGAGAGAGAGAGAGAGAGAGAGAGAGAGAGAGAGAGAGAGAGAGAGAGAGAGAGAGAAAAGAATATCCTCTGTTTTAGCGAGAAATCTTGAAAACAGGCTCGGCCAATCCGCGCACTGCTACGGTTTATCTGTCGCATTATTTTTGCCGCCTTGTCTCATCGATCGGAAAATTAATGGAAAATCGCTGAAACTCCGCGTCTCTGTAAATAACACTAGCATGAAAATTGTCCGGCAAGTCGCAGAAAATGTGACGTGAGTGACAGGCAACGAGTGATGGCTGCTGAGCCAGACTAGGCCTACTACAGAGCGCTAAGGATCTTAGCGAGCTGTATTATACCATACGACTCGTATGCCGTTTCTGCTATTTATTCTATAACGTGCGGAATCGGCACGCAGCCGACAAATTTGTTTCCTCCTTCGTCTTATATTTGCAGAGGTAAGAGAACGAATAAATCTCTATACATCTCTGTGATCTCCCTTCCTCGAATGTGCGTGTCTACACTTTGTCCGTTTGCGTTATCTTTTATGCACGCAAGATACATATAGTTACTCATTATACGATTTCTGTTATCTCAACGAAAATATTTGCGATAGCCGCGAGTCGATAACTGCGAGGGTGCTCCGACGTGCCTCTTCGTTTAATCGAACGAACGCGGAAGTCACGTGCCCGACCTAATTGAAAATTAATTCCCTCCGTGCGCTGAGTCGCGGCGCGGTCGCGAAAACGTGCAAAACTTAGCCCGCGCCTCTCGTGCGCCGCTGGCCGGAAGACCGGGGGCCGGAGGGGGAATTGTTTCAGCAAAGTAAACGGGGATTCAAATCGTGCGATGCGATCGCGCAAGAGAATACACGAGCGGCGGCACGCTCTCCTCGGGATCCCCGCGAGATATACGCGATTCTCGCGAGTCATCTCGGGATGCGAAATCGACCAGCGCGACGCCATCCTTCACCATTCATCATCGACGTGTGTACAGATCTCTGCGAGCTGAGTTACCGCGCGAGCGTGGGTCTGAATTTTATTTATTTAGTTGAATTCGATTTGCATATGTTCTCACGATGCGAGAGAGAGAGAGAGAGAGAGAGAGAGAGAGAGACAGGCTCATCCATCTCACGCCATTCGCAGCTCGCAATCCATAACACGAGAGAGGTTCCCCTTCGTTTGCACGTGCGAGTCGAATGTACTAGCTTGCGCGAAAGTTACTTTACGGATTATTCGGAAAAAAAGAATTAAAATAAAGAAATAAATGTACAATTCGTGTTACTTGCTCTTTTAGATAACAATGCAACAAGCGGCAAACGCAAGTGCAAACGCTTTGCTGCGCGTATCGCGTATATCTCGTTCGAGTTTTCACCAGATTTTTCAACCATTCTCATATGCGTTGCATCGTGCAACGCTCGCGCGATTCGACGACTGCCGTCGCGTTTCTTCGCGGTGCAGGTTTCGGCGTATTCTCCGTCGCACGCACAAATTTCTCCAAGTTTTCGCTCTGCGCATCAATCTGCGCGAAAGCGCTCCATTTTTATTTTCTCGCGTACGTCTCGTGGCGTCTGGTAAAGAGCATTTTACAAGCGGCGAATCCGCCCCCCGCGAATCTCTCTCTCCCTCTTTCTCGTTCGCGAGTGCACGTTTGCAACCGCCAATATTACCACCGTACCTCGTCGCTGTCACGTAGGAGAACGTTCGAGGAGTGGCCGAGAGAGGACGTTGACAGGCGGTATCCGGGAAATTCATCTCGCGAGCGCGACTTGCGTTTTGCCAAGAGTGGGAACCTTCCCCTCTCTTCTCTCCTTGTCAGGCTCCCTCTAACATCAACATCCACCCGCGTTCCCGCCTTATACTCCCTGCAAGTCCAGCCAGCCACCTGCCCTCGCCGTTTTGTTCCATCGTCTCCTCGACGAGAGCAGGTTAGAGGAACGCACGAGCGAACGAACGAACCGACGCCGATGCGGACGCTCAGGCGGGAGAACTCTCCGGGTAATAGTCGAAAGTTTATAGAGTCTAACCGGAGGAAAGTAACTGGTTTATGGGGAAACTTTCGCCACGTCCTCACACGGAGAATTTACGTTCGCAGCGCTTCCGGAGAGGGGACCGGAAATCACGGGCCTGTCCTCGCACTACGCCGTCGGCGAGAACGTGACTGCCAACTGCACCGCCTGGCCGTCCGTGCCCAAGGCCAATCTTCGTTGGACCATCAACGGCGAACTGGTAAAGTATCACCCCCTTCGCTTCCTCGCCGAGGCAACTTCCCCGAGGCCTCGTCCACCGCCGCCGCCACCGCGGCGTATCGCGCTCGCTCCCTCGCTCGACCTGTACGCGGCAAATGGTTCTGTGTGATCCTTCAGTCGAGTAGAGGCGGCTCTCTGGTCTGGTCTCTGATGAGGTCGCGTCTTACTCTGTCTTGACCCGGAGAAGCCGAAAGTGACAAAATGGTGCGCCGTTACCGCATCACCGCCCGCCATCATGTACTCTTGCGCACTTTTAGCTTCGTAAAAACGAGACGGACGCCAATGAGGGAGAGAACAATCAAAAGAGAAATATAACGGATGGAAGGGGAGTTGACCTTCTTCGGGAGGGGTGGGGGAGAGAGAGAGAGAGAGAGAGAGAGAGAGAGAGAGAGAGAGAGAGATAGAGAGAGAGAGAGAGATAGAGATTATGATCTACGGAAATCTAACCTCGGCGTTCTCTGATTATAGTGTTCGAAAATGTCGCTATATGTATACCAAGCGCTCTCCAAAGTTTTACAAAAAGTTTCAGTGTTCAATATCGAATGTTCGATTAGTTCGGCTCTAAACGACTCGATGTAGATAAGAGTCTCGATTACATTCTTCAAGTACGCATGAGCACCGTCGATACACTTGAATTTTGGCCACGTTAGATGGCGCTGTACGCTATCATCGCGTTGCCGCGCGATTTTCCGTTTGGAGAAATCGGTTTTAGCCTCGCTGGTTGTTCCGAGGAATACGTCGGCAATGGGAGAGCAGACATACGCACTCGATAAAATTGATTTCGTAGGTACACTCCGTGTATACACTCCGAACTCGATGGTAAGCTGCTTTCGCGGTGAAATCTGATTTCTCGTAAAGCGATAGTGTCCGCGCGCACAAAGACACCGGCACGACAATGAAAGCGTTGCCTCAGGCCGGAAAATTCTGTTCCCTTTCGCCGCTGCGCGGCGACGAAGTCAAGTCTCGGGCCAATCTGCTTGCGATTAGTCATATTCGTCATTTCGCGCGAGCGACTCGAGACTACTCAACTCTCGAGGATTTCGTCTTGCCTCGTCGCTGACGTTGATGAACGATCCGGAAAAGAACCCACGAGAAATTCCACCACCGCACGCTGGCTCCTGCGCGCGCGAACCAGGAATCGCTACTTTCGGATTTTCTCTTCCGAATTTCAATCGCTTCGGATTTGGCCTTTTATTTTTACAAACTTTGATTTTTCATTCCAGTTGATTGAAAATTTTTTTTAATTTCGATAAATATAATATTTTCCATTTCAGTGAGCTATTTCTTCTTCTCTTTTTTTATTTCAATTTCATCAAGATCGGATTTCTTTTCTATCGGAGTCATCCATAGGCGGATGAAGAAGAGACCTCTGCTGTTACTTGTGACAATAGTATCTCGGCATATAACACACACACACACACACACTCCCGTACGTACAACATTGACAAGTCATCATTATAGAATTTTGAGCGAATTGGTGCTCCGTCGCTCCGCTCCTTCACAGAACATAGTCTGAAATTTATGTGGAATAAATTTAAATTTACTCTTCGCGTGTACACGTAAAATATGCGTATGCAGATATGTATATGCTGAACATTGCATTGATGACTGTGCATATGGCAAGGTTCTAATTGCTAACCAATTTTTTATAATGCCACGATAACATCATGTTCGCGCACATTGCAGTTGAATTTAATTTTTCATTTAAATTCTCTTTCTCTCTCTTTCCCTCTCCGTGAGCGAGTCGCGGGTTAATATGCTAAACCAATATCGTCAGTATCGTTGGTATCGTCAGTCTTGCTCGTTTAAAGTATATAAAGGGTGGGTGGATGGATCGGCGGACTGCGAAACGTGCGATATCCTTTGATCAATTTAAAGCTTCGATTTGACTCGAAGGGAAAATTTGATCGACCGTTATATTTCTCCACGATTTCATGATTGTCAAGATCAAAGATTTTCACACGAGGGTGCTCTTTCGCGACTAAAAAAAAAAAAAAACTTCTTTCACTACTCAAATTAACTTGAAATTAAGCGAAGAACAATTTTGTTCTCTGTATCTGCCGTATTCCCAAAGTGTTATTTTCCCGTCGCGAATGTGCCCAGCGTAATTTCACCCACAAGTGGACCTTTTTTTTTTATTCACTTCATCGCGATTCGCGCACGTCGCGCGGGGGAATAGTACACGCAATTTCTCGCTTCATTATGTTCGCAACTGAAAAGTATTAATGCTGAAAGAGGAATGTTACGCGGGGACACGACGCAAAGTGTAGTAATATTCGCGGGGATAATCGACGGGCGGAAAACAGAACGGGCGATTTGCCAAAGCAGGTTCGGCGTAACTTAAAAGATTGTCGTGCAATGTGCAAAATGTGTTTCTCAGAAAAGCGTAATTTCGCGCCAAATTGATCGTCGTCGTCGCCGTTGCCGTTGTCGACGTCGGCGTCGTCGGAGTCGGAAACAAATCTCTGTTGAACCGTCAACAAAGCGGCGGACAAAGTACATTTTCCTCCTTTCGTCCAGAGCACTCGGCACTTTGATTGTCGCAAGCGTTCCTGTAAATTAGAACGGACTGCGCCTCGAGAAAAACGACACGAATTGTTCGTAGCATCGGTCACGTTTTGTATGCGGGTCGATTAAGTCTCCGTTGGAAGCAACTTCGGGATTCCGGCACACCGTAACACAATTGTAACAGCCGTTTTTCAATTATCGTCTAATCGTGAAAAATTGCATTTCTTCATTTAATATTGTGAGACTCTTCTGATTTCTCTCTCTCTCTCTCTCTCTCTCTCTCTCTCTCTCTCTCTCTCTCTCTCTCTCTCTCTCTCTCTCTCTCTCTCTCTCTTTCTCTCTCTCTCTCTTTCTCTCTCTCTCTCTCTTTCTCTCTCTCTCTCTCTCTCTCTCTCTCTCCTCATTGTTCAGAGACTTCACTCTGCTCGGTTAATCGCGTAGAGAATGCTTCGCGAAAAATGGAGACAAAAATTGTACGACGTGACGATGTCGAGCGGCACTTGAAGTTACAAAGGGAACAAAATAGGTACGGAGCACATTTTATTCTACAGATCGTGCACGTTCATTGGACGAATTTATGCGAACGAGCAATAATTAGTAGCCATAAATAAGAGTTTTATCCGCTGACGAGAACAATGTCGAGCTGATGTTTGCACATTTTACGAGCATTTTATTCGTCGCTTTACTGCGGTGTTAGGATATTTTTCGTCAACTTATTTACCAGCGTCATGCATATGAATGCGTATACACGCGATGCATATGTTTGCCCGAGTTTACTACTGCGGTAGTTTATTTTTCCGGTAGTAAAGAGAGAGGTTCTTCGGAAAGTTTTCATTACGTTTTTCCCCCCGCTACCCCTCTTTCTCTCTCTCTCTCTCTCACACACACACAAATACAATCGATGTCAATTTTCTTGAATCCAGCTCGCGCGAGTGAATGAGCAAAGTGTACAAAGCTGACGACACTGTTTCCCGACAGTGTTTCCCTTTTTATACATTCCATTCTCGGCGCGCGATTTTATTTTGCAATCGCGTTGCAGCGCTCTACAGCGCTACGAATAATCCCAATTTACGATTTCGGGGAGATGAGACAAGCATCGATGCGGTTTTACGGACCGTTGGTAGGGAAAAAAGAAATAATATACATGGAATCGGAATGCTTTTCATATTTCATGCGTACCGATCGATCGTGAGTTACAACGGCTTCCGTTACAAGCGTTCCATCGACTCGTGCCTGTTGTGACACTTATTCTTATTTCACGATTGAGCGCGAGTGCGCGCACTGTTTGGCGAACCTGGAGAGAAAAAAGAATGACCGGAATTTATGATTTGCGCGAGATGGGAAAGACGTTAAGGTGACGAACTTACAAACACGTTCGTATCGTTCGTGCAGCGGAAGAAGCGACGACAAGATTTTTTTCACATTTTTCATCGCACAGAGCGATGGATCGGCCGTAAGTTAACGGCATTGTTCGGCAAGGCCGGCCGACACAATGGCTGGTTGCGTGCCTTTTTATTAACATACGAGGCGAAACTGCAATCGCGGTCGATATAGTGACATATGGCCGCGCTGAAAACCGCCCAGACGCCACTCTTTTTGCTCGTAATGGCTCGTATCCGACGTCGGTCGTGCTCTTTTTTCCTCTCCCTTCCTCTCTTTTTTCCTTTCTTTCTTCCTTTCCCTCCTTTTTCTCTTTCTTTTTTCCCGTTTTTTTTTTGTTTTAATGCGGTATGATATACAGAGCGGCTGGCATCGGCGAGATGGGAATTTAATGCGAGCCCACGTTTGAACGATACGATGCTTTTTCAGTGACTCTAGCGAGAGATGGTAATAGTCTTCTTTTTTTATTATTACGCCCCTATGCTGACAAGTTTCAGCCATTTTTCAAACGAATCGCTCTCCAAAGTCGCACGAAAATGTTTTCGACAATTTCAAATAAAATTTTTCCGTTTCTCAACTCAGACGTCGGCCGACTCGTCAAATGACATATGGTCTATTATATTTTTATGTACCACGTAACAATGTAAAATTACGTAATCATCGCCGCGTAACGCGAGTCTTTTGATTTTGTTCTCATATGTACGGAGAAAATGTCCAGAAACTGCCGTGTAACAATTAACTCTTATGTAACACAGATAACGTTGCATATCGGGGAAAAGCATCTCGTGTACAAGGCGAATCATACACGATCATAAAAGTCATCAAGCATTGAGATTTGTAACGTAATCAGCGTGATATCGATGAATTAAAAACTGATGGTACGTGACGGTTACATGCGAGAATTGTTTGAATTTGGCGAAAATGTCAATAGTTGATCAATAGTTGATCAATTATACCATTGCGAAGTGATTGAATCAAGAGGCACATCGTGCCTATATTACGCGAAACTGCGAGTTGAAACGAGGTGAGATATTCATATCTCAGCAATGGCTGAACCGATCGAAGTTTCTTTAGTCCCGATCAATTCGGCCT